TTCAATCACAATGCTTTCACATCAGTTTTACCTCTTGGTTTATTCTTGCACCTTCCTTTTCTCCTGATTGACATCTGCCTAAGAAGCCCCAATACATATTCATCACTTTTGCAGTTTAACAGATGAAGCAACAAACAGATACAAGTATGGTTTGAGGAGTACAGCATCTATGCCATTGATCAACTAATTACAGGTGCTGTCTTCAGTTTTGTTCAAGTTTACTGTGAACTGGTTTTTAGCTTTCCTCTTCTCTGCCTGAAAAGTTTTTATTGACCTGTTTCTTCAGAGAAAACTAATCTAACTCATGCTATAAATGCAAAGGCAAGGCATATAAACAAAAGATATCTGGGGCGCTGGTTCTCCTCACACACATTTTTTTTTACACAGCTGAAGCTAGTGCAGTCACAAACAACCACTGATTGTTAACCCCTTTTTTTAAGAAAAAAATATGGATTACTGGAATCATTTAAATCTCATTTTTGCTTTTTACCCCAATAGTCAACTAACAACTTAAATGAAAAATCTAACATACAGCATATTCTTTAGGCTAATCTTTTATACCACAGTACAATAATCCAGTGTTTTCTCATTTTCTCCTCTTCGCTTAAAAGCAATGACAGTCTACCCTTGAGCAGAAAAGGCCAGATTTTGCATGACATTGAGATCATTTGTTTGAGTCCTTAAATATAAAAAAGTAAGAAAACAAGGTAATAGAGTCCTAGTGACACTTAACATTTAAATAGTGCTTTTGGCTCAGTCTAAACACACTTTTACAAAGCTGTGCTTGATTTTTTCTCTTGCTCAGTTTTATAGACGCGAATAAATAAATTCTATGATTTTCCATGCAACAAGAAAGAATGGATTAGCCCATTGTTTAAGCACTAGATTGCATCATAAAATATGGTGGCTCCGCCACTAAACCTCCTATGCAAATCACTTAGCACTATTTTATTTTCCATTTTTCAATGGAAAAAAAAAAAAAACCCTGTAAGATCTGTCAGGAAATGTAACCATATGAGAAAGAAGCAGGAGTGCAGAGAATAAGATTCACGCGTTTGACTCACACCTATCTAGCTTTTGGATAAGACTGCTTCCTTGGATAAGCACAAGCATCTAGTTCAAACTATAGGATGCCTCCAGAAACACCAACACATGGGGACAGGACATTAAGAAAACGAGCCTATTAGTAAAACAAGTAACAATTTCTGAAAAAGAAATTCATACAGCCTTGCACTTTTCTAAACAGTTTTCTTACAATCTCATAGTCACTAAAATGTATAAAAATGATTATTTCCAAAACAGCATTTCCATGAATTATCACCACTCCTGTTGCCTAGCAACTGGAGTAATTTTTGAATAGTGAGCTGTATAAACCAGTATCTGGAGTTGGTGCAAATGGGTATTCATTTGAGGGTTTAAAACACATTCATCTTGGAAATCACAGGCAGCTAATGTAGCACTAATGTATAGCTGAAATGCTTTAAAAAAATAAAATGGCACTAACAATTACTGCAGCTTAGGAAAACCTTCCTCCTACAGCAGATCTGAGCCCTGTCAAACTTGGCCAGGGCTAGAGTTGAGTTCTTGGCTATTCTTTGGGGTTGCAAGCGCCCTTTTCCAGTTTTTATGAACACATTTCACTTTCTTGTGGAGCAAACCACTCTTACCCAGTCTTCTGAGGGATGTGGTTCTAACTCAAGAGCAATGGAAACTGGTGACATTAAATGGCATTTAAATCAGATGAAAAGTAAATTCTATTTTTATATGGTCCATACTGAGCTAGAAAAACTCACTGGGTCATAGCATGACAGAATTATGTGCTTAGTAAGGCTCAAAAGAGGTCTAGACATCAATAGTGACAAAGAGATAACTCACTGATATATTAGAGGGCTATTTATAAGCACACATATGAAAGATAAACTCTCAAGGCACCGTCATTTGTTAGCTACATGTGGTTGCCCGTTATTGGGATTTTTGCCCGTTCCTCAGAAGCATGTAGAATCTAGCTTGACTGCAAGACAAGATCCCAAAACAAATCAACCTATCTTGTTTAAGGTGAGAATTTCTACATTACTTTCTTACATCTCTAATAGACAAATTCGTGCTAAAGCTAATACAAATCTGTGTTATTGCTCCCAAACTTCCCCCCCTCCCCCAGCAGAAAAAGATTCCAGCTGACTGGCTTCCAATGCTCCATAGTCTTATGGATAAGAACAGGGGAAAAAAAAAAAAAAAAGCAAAATTCCTGGAAGTCTGCATGTGTTTTTCATAGAGACTGCAGACAGAGAGGCAAATTCACTCCTGGCATAAACACACAGCCCATTGAAGGCAATGCAGTAGCATCTGCTTATACCAGCTATGAATCTGAACCATTTTTCTCTGTAACTACTGCCGGCAGACAGGGGGCTGCATGTAGCACGCAATGGAATTTGAGAGCTTATAGCATCTCGGAGTTTAGAGAATTAAATTTCTGTAGTAAGAGAAAAATTTGATGTCTACGTTGTTCTAAGATACTGTGAGTTGCAGGGTTCCCAGGAAGCCATATAGTGCCTACTGACAGACTGCCATAAAGTACTTAATGGCTGTTTAATAGCTCAGATAGAGAAAAATGCTCCATTTTGTCTGCTGCTCCGTGGCAGTTTCCTGAGACCCTAAACATACAGCACAGCCCTATCACATACGAAAACACTCATGGTGTTATTCTTCATTGCCTCTCAAAAACGGTAGTTAACAAAGTTGGTATTTTACCCTTCCCGATGAAAGAGAGCGTTCCTTAAAGAAAGAGAAATGATCTCAGCTACACAGGGCTACACAGCAGTTGCTCTAAATAAGAGGCACCATTGACATTCATCACTTGACAGCATTTGAGGCATGAGAGCGGAGAGCACGTCACGGGCTACGGGATGCACAGCCTCTTCTAGCACGCAGCCCACGCGCCTGCCTCCTTCCTCTCTTCTCTGCCACCGAGGAGCAGTGCGCACCTGTACGGCTGCTTCACTGAGCAAACCGTGCTTGCGCCCACCTAAGCACCCAAGTTTCCATCACTCATGAGCAGATCATATAGGGGAAAAAATGCTTTCTGCACTCTTCCCAGCTAGAAGCAGAGACAATCTGCTCCAAAATTTGTCAGCACATTTTTCAAAACACAATTTAAAAGTCCTCCTTAGAAACAGAGACATTGGGTCCGCCCTACAGATGACAAACCACGTTCATATACTATGTTTGTCTTATAGGAGTAGATTTGAGAGGAGATGTTGACCTAAAGAGAGCTTTTATCTTCTCTCCACAAGACAGACCCAGTGATGAGCAAGTGTGCTGGCACCTCTGCCTGTGTACGCTCAGAAGCACAACAGCTGCAAATCCCCACAGAAAGAAATTGCTAGTGCAGCAAGTGGCAGACATCTTTGGTAATGCTTTTCTCCCAGTCAGGCATTGCCAGGAAAGACAGCTGTGGCATTTGGTAACTATTCTTTGTATGTTTAGTTCTAGCCTAGAGAGCATCATTAACATCTTTTTTTTTTATTCCTTCAGTCTGTCTTCCCTTTAATCCATAAAACCTGAGAAGAAGGAAGACAGATTTTTGATAAGCACAGTTAAGCTACATTTTGTCAAGTGTAGAGTTCAAGCTATCTTCACACTGCAACCAGGCAAATGATCCACAAAGTAGTTTATGAATGTTTCCATGCACTTTTGTCTGGCCCTTTAGAATCTGACTGAATTCCAGGAACAGGAATATTCCTCAAGAGCAGATTTTCGGCCCAGACTGCCAAACACTTTGGAAAATAAACGTCGGATCAGCTGTCCAAATCAATTTTCCACTAAGAACTGAATATATTCAACGACAGAAGAAAAATAAAATTATAACCAAACTCAATCCATTTTTAATTTCCAAAACTAAGACAAAACCACAGAAATAAAACTTATCAATACCTTACAATCTTGAATGAGCATGAGAAAATAATGACCTGTCTGCACCCTTTAAAACAGCAAAAAAGGTGAAATGCATGGAATAAAATATGTGCTCTGAATGACTTTCTTGGTTCATTTTTCACGTCATCCTATTGTTCCCACTGCCAGACCTCATAACTGTGTCCTTCACGAATGGTGACATTCATTAGGACTTTGATTACAAGATGCTACTGTAAGCCATTGCCTGCGATGCCAGCTGCTACTCCCTAGACCTTAGCCTAGAGAAAAGCAATACTGTTCACAAAATCAGAGTCTTTTGGAAACGGAAGGCTTCATGACTGTCTGGGCTGCGTAATGAATTCAAACTTGCTTTCAGACCTGCACACATGACAAATCGGCTGAGACAACAATGAAGAGAAATGTGGACAAAACGTACCCACTATGTGAACATCTCCTCTAATTTCACAGAAACAACCTGCAGGAGCAAAGGCCGCTTGTCTTGTATGACAAATGGGGCCTACTTCTTCTTGCAAGTGAAAGGTTGATACTTGGACTCAAACCAGACAAAAAATAAAAAGCACAGTAACCTTGGATCACAGAAATAATCTCATAACAAAGATGTACATTGATTTTGATAGATATTTTCAAGAAACATAATAAACTAAAATAATTGCTTCTACAGTGTTTTGTTACGGGAGCAACTTTTGTCACAGCGTGATAACTATGAAACTGGATCTCAGATGTCTTGAGATATTAAAAAATCTTTGAACACTCTTAGAAAGTAAAATCCCAATATGCTTAATTTCAGTCCTTAAGGTCTGTTAAGACAATCGGGTTCTACTCCAGCAGGCTGCTTCTTTTGAAACCTTCTTTTGAATGTCAAATACAGCATAGCTAGCAAATACAAGGTTAGATCATGTGTCAACGAGCCTTAGACAAATTCTGCTACTTACCTCAAGAGGACTGGACTGACTCTAGCATTTCAAGACTGTCTTCCAGCCACGTTGATTACCACAAAACTGCGTCAGGCCCAAACACGCAAAGGGCTAGCATGCATCCTCTCATTAGGTATAACAAGGAATATCACTTACTTGTATGGGATGTGTTTGCTGCCATTGACGAGGGCGAGGATGACGTTGCCCAGTGCTGACAACGAGAGACACAGGCCCGAGCTCCCCTCCCGGTTTTTGCTGAGCACTTTCACACAGCTCCCCAGGTCAATCAGGTGCAAGCGGCTGCGACCTCCTGACACTGCCATAAGCAAAGAAGTGAACAGTTAGTATGTGCCTCTTCTAAACTGCTCAAAGAGCACTTTCCCAGGAAAGCAAAAGACTCGCCACTACTTGCAAAGAGGAAACAATTCAGAAACCTCTCCTAAACAACGTTAGCAGTAACAAACTGTTGAGGTCCTGTTAACCCCCCTTCAGCCTTTACTGCTGCACATTGCTGATTGCTGCTGACTTGCTTAAAAATTGGCAAGGCTTTCACCGCTCACAGCTCGTGCAGGTTTCACTCTGTGGGAGTCACCACTGTGCCTTTTTTTTTTTTAAATATAGCTCTGCTAGCCTACATCTGAGTTGGTGCTACATTACTGTCTGTGACTGCTGTGCATCTGTCCAGAAAAGTACAGGCTGGGAATAACTGCTGGTGAGCAGTGGTCCTGTCTTTCCCACCTCAAAGACTGGACATTCAGAGAAGCTGTAGCATTCTGTGTGATATTCAGCTTTGCTTTAAGACTATATACTTCTATATAGTCATTTGGTTTAACAAAAGGTTTGTCATCTCTGCTCCCACTAACCTTTCACTGTTTCTAGAAGAGTATTTAGGAAAACTCTTTAAACCCTGCAGAATACCATGGGAGACATAGGTTATCAGCTGATAAACTGTTACTATGTGATTGCAGAGCTGAGACATATGAAGGGCATCTTTTCAAGGAATTTTTATAATATTTCATGTGATTCACCAAAACTACCAAGACATACTCCTAAATCTTCAAAGAAGTTGGAGATCATAGTTCAGTTCTACCTTTATATTATTCTAGACCTTGCAAGCATACACTGCTTGCAATTGCAAGGTTGTTACCATTGTTTGTTGTCTTTAAAGATTAAACGACAAAATGGTCGACAATTTAAGCCAGGAAACACCACAGAGAAGCAAACATTGTGAACTTAAATTGAGCTACAGATGGATGCTCAGGTATAGAAGTGGAAAGGAGAGGTACTTTCACCTCTCCATGTTTGAAGCTCCATTTTTTTCACAGGAAATTCCTATTTATTCCAGAAAAACAGGATAACTAGATGAAGTGTATACCAGGGAGAGCACCAGCAACAAAGAAGAATCTTTATTCTAGTGAAATACACTGAGGACTGAATGTCGTTTGCTCTAAACTGCGTCCAGTTTAAAGGATTGGTGGTCTAAAGGTAACATCATTTGACTTTAAGTGTAGTGGTGTTGATAGAGAGTAATCAAGACGAAAAATAGGGAGCCACTGACAGTTTCACAGAAATGATTTTCAGAACAGTTTTCTAACAAATCCATTTGGAGTTGTAGTAAAAGGACTGTTTCTACTTTCCCATAGGTTAATCACATGCACTTGCCTATGTTACATTAATGTTGTTCAAAGGGGTGGTAATTTATATTTTGAAATAATTAATGTACCATGAACTTGCAACACGTGCAGAAGATTCCAGTTTGGACAGCCTTTAATAAATCTACTGAGCAGCAAATTGTACGGGTGAATATGGTATGCGGAAGAGGCAACCTTGGCAGTGGATACTCAGGTCTGGAAGATGTGGAATAATTTCAGTTGCCAGCTAAGCGTGACAGGAGTGCAAACAGCTTTGTTGACTGAAACAGACTATAACTTTCTAAGTATGGAGAAAAAAGGCTGCTTCTCTTCTTAACAAAGATGAACATTTGGACATGAACAGAGAAAGGTAGCAATGTTTATATAAAAGGTACTAAGTCAGTCTTCCAAAAGGCTGTTTAACAGACATTTGCTCTCATGAAAAATCCATGGTTCCTCTATGAACCCAGGAACGAGGACTATCTAGACTTGACCAAAGTGCTTCTAATTCTCTATTATCTCAAGACAACTTCCTACCTATTTTCTCACATCTGATTTTTGACCAGTCCTCCCTATTCTTAAGGGTGAGTTTAGAAGCTGTCTCTAGGAAGAGATAGTTTTATTTTCACGCTCACAAGTCAAGAGCTCCTTAAACATGAGCTGTAAATACTTTCCCATCTGAGCTTACCTCTATGCAAATATATTCACAGCTATTTTGAGACAACACCTCAACTTACGCATCTTGTAGAAACGGTATTGGGGGTGGGAGGAGACCAGTGCACAAGCAAAGATGGCAATGGGAGCCACTACATGATGGGGACATTGGAAATATCTGAGGTTTCCAGATATTACTCGTTCCTTTTGGCATGTCTTCATGTCACAGACATGTTTCGTCAATAAGCCTGCGTTCAACAGCTGTGGTACTTGGCCATGGTATGTGGGCATGCAGCCTAGGGTTGGCAGGTGCCACAGGAAGTAAAAAGAAATCCACAACAGGAAATAATTGCACGTAAATATGTGAAGACGATACTTGTAAAGCTTCTACATATAGACAAGAGGGTGATATATGATCGTATCATTTCACAGACCTCTTTGTAGACAGGAAGACTGATATGAATAATATATAAATACAGCTACTGAAGACATGTGTAACTTAGCTGTGACTTAAAAGATGTTAACCTACATCGAAAAAATGAGAGAGAGAGATTCCATTTTGCAAGCACTGCAATGCACGGGGTGCACTGCTTACTGCTACTACCCAGTGTCTTGCATGAGCCACAATTTTCCTTACAAGTGTAAAGCCTTTCTCTACAATGTGTTAAAATCAGTGATGAAGTTCAAAAGAAACTATAAATCTGTGTCAATTGCAAGTGGGAGATAATTAAAATTTACAAGAAAACCCCTAAAAATAGATTTTAACAACAAAAGGAAAAAGAGAAAAAAAGACACTGAATAAAGAGAAAGGAGAAAGAAAAAGAAAGAAAAGAGAAAAAAGAAAAACAAAACAGAAAAAAGAAACTGATTAGAAGTTAATCTTGGTAGTCAGACATTTGAAATGCTGTAATAGTCCCCAGATTACACTCCAACCCATTAAACAGGCCAACGGAAGTTCAACCACCCTGCTGTCAGTGGCGCTCCCTGGGAAGTATCAGCACTCACTACAGAGCTGTGCTGGGGCAGAAAATCAGGCTTCCCTGAGGAACAGCCCAGGGCAGCTGCAGCCACCACAGGGCCTTTGCCTCCCTCTGACTAGAGAGGGAATCTAAGACTGCTAGAAGTTACCTTTTGTGAGCATTCCCCAATGATTTTGCTTAGAAAATCAAGGAAAAGTGCTTAGTTGCTGCTGATGACTGCCAGTGGCTTTCCTGAATTATATATAACAAATATGTCTGTTGCTAAGATTACCGGACATTGGGGGAACAAAAGAAAACAAAAGAAATCACTGTCTTTCAAATTTTAGTCACATTGTTTGCACACACATTCCTATCATGTAGGCCGAGGAAATCCAGAACAAGAGAAAGGAGTGGATCTTTCATTCCTATTTAATTTACAAGTCAAAATAAGGCATGTTTTTAGGACGACAGATCCACCTGATTGATCTGAAAATTAAGCTATTTGTTAGGCAAGTTCTCTGCTAATGTGCCTGGCAACTATAGAGAGAGTAAGAAAAGTGAACATCCTAATACTTGTTTTTGTCTATGGCCACAGAGACTTCGCAGAGTTGACAGCTGAAAAATGAACGTGCCAGTTCTGCCACAATTTCATTTATTTCAGTGGTGCTAAGCCTGCTTCATGACATTCCTGGTAATGAATCTTAAAGGACATACGTACGGTACCAAAGTGCTGTCCTCACAGTCATTTTTTTGACCAAAACCATACGTTAGCCAGCCCTTTAATCTCTGACCCTTTAGAAGCTGGGTTTCTTTTCTTCTTCTTCTTTTTTTTTAATCCTTTTACTGGAATCTGTATCTCTACTATCTTCATGTTGTTTTCTGAAAAGTCCTTCATTACAGCAAGAGACTGATAATCACTAGGCGCCCTTTCTGAGCTGTTGGAATTCCCCCTCATTCAATTATCAGGGAGATCTGACCCTGCCTGGCTTATAAGGCCACTCAGATATGGAAACTTGAAGACAGGAGGTGGTATGGCCAAGAGACAAAAACATAACTGCAGGCGGACAAAGTATCTCACATTATAAGCCTATAGGATCATGTCTTTTTTTTTCTTTTTTTTTTAGAATGAGTCATTATAGCCACAGGAAAACAGTTTTTTCCCTTTTATTAATTGCATTTGAAAATAGTAAGAAAGGTCTACGTGCACATGTACTTGCATGTATGTGAAAAGCCCGCAGTATTAAGTAACTGTAACAATAAAACCCTCAAAATCAGCCATCTTTATTCCTAACAACCAGTCAGTTTGAGCATTCACAGTCTTCCTTTCCACCGCAGGCTGGTTAATTAATAAACCTTTAGTTAATTGAGTTTTCTGGCTGCCAATTCCACAGGGGTTATTACTTAAACACATGCAAACTGCATTTCCATTTAGAGCAGCTTTCTGGTTTTCTCTCTTATATTATAAATATAGTCAATGTAAATGTTCTGTATTCAAACACTAGACATTAATACTGCAGCGGTGTCCACCCACTACACATCACAGCTTGCAGTCTAGTCCTCATTACAAGTAACCTGTGCAGAGCCAGGAGCTGAAATAGATACTATTTCTGCAGAACTGTGTAAGTCCACAAATTTGAAAAAGCAGAGGCCTCCCGTGCTCTTTAAGCACCTATTTTTTCCTGTGAAAAAATGATCAATCAAAAAAATTTTTTCAATGGGAAAATCTGGCTGGGAGACTGGAAACAGACTGTAAATGTAACAAAAAATTAGAAATCTACATGATCAGTGTAAATCGAATGAAACCTTTGACAATTATAGAAACATGAGCAGGCATGGCTCGTACTTCATGGCTCGAAGTATGATTCTCTTCATTTACAAAAGGAACATTGATATATAGACTTATGAATCAGTTAAGGCACGTATGGCAAAGAGAGGGAGCAAACTCACAGCACAGAGCCTTCCCGAAGAAGCACTAGAGAGTTCTGCGCATATGGAGTTGGGCCAGCAACTAAATTTTCGCCAATAAAAGCTCCAGTTTGTGCACTGGCCTCAGCTTCTACATACTCTGCCCTGCTTAGGTGCTGAACTAGAACAGCTGACATAACGGTGGCAGGGAATTCCCATCTCCATAATACTTTAACCTGTAACCTCAGCACTGCAGCTATCGATAGAAGCAATATTAAAAGCCATTCTGAAGAGTAGTTTTTTGTTTGTATGTGGAGGCCCACATTGTGCTGAGAGTCAACTGTTAATGCTTCCACAAAAGCAACTAAATCGACAACTGATATTGATTATCTTCAGTCATTTCTGGCCTTTGCTGGATCTTCCTAGAGAGGTAAATAGCCTGTTGGTGTAGGTGGGCCTACCCCATTCTGAACGGAGAACTCTGCTAATTTTCACCGCTAAAGAAAGAACATTGTTTAAAGGCCTATGTAAAGCCAATTTTGAGGCAGCTAAGGAAATAGGAGGGAAGAAGAGAACAGCTTACTTCCGCCTTTGCCACTCTTCTCCATTCGGTACTGATAGATGTGCAGAGTGAAGAGCATGTGAGAGTTGCGGTGATCCTCCTCATCGCAGTCTCGCTGGCTGCTGCGACGGGAAGCAATAGCTGCGTCGAGGAAGAAAGCAGCCTTCTCCGCAGTTGGGGCCCGGAGCTCACTCTGATTCTGAAGCTGCACGTTAATACAAATTAAAAATCAACTAGAAGCTCCAGTAGAATTCCATGCTATCAGAAAACATACTGCTGTCAAAGCACACCATTGATACACTGGCTTCTGACAGGACTGAAAAGGAGGAAATGCCCTACCAAATCAGACGTGCTAACTCATCCCTCCTGACACTGAGAGTGATGGTACCACCTCCTTCAGGAGCCCTACAAATGAATCCAGGCTTTTGAGGGTTCCTACTCACAGTATCTCTAGTGGCAGTTGTCCTGGGGGCTGGACAGAGATGCATAAGCTCACTCCTTCACTAGAATTTTAAGCCATTCATTGGAGCCCATTATTTTTGCTGGCGCCTCTGTTTGTTTGTTTTGCTGCACTGCCTGTGTCCTTACGGTTAAGAGAGAAACAAATGGTTGTTGAAGACACAAAATTCCCAAACCCACAGTTGGTGCAGCTGGGCAGGGGCAGGAGTATGTTACCCTTCATCAAGTGTTAGGAGGGAGCACTCTGCGGATTAACCTGGGAAGTAACAGGTCGGAAGCCTGGGTTCAGCCCCCAGAGCATGTGGGGAGCAGTGCAGAAGAGAAGGCATTTTCTTGCCCCTTCATCCTCTAAGCTTCTGCACCTGCTCAAGAGACGGAGCAATCCATTACATGGAACAGGACAGGTAATGTACATACATTCACATTTGCTGGACCTCAATCACAGTCACCAGCCTGCTCTTATCTCTCCAAAATGATAGAGAGCATATGAGGGCAGATATTATTAACCTACGACAATGTAAGGTATGCATGTGTGCTTCATGTCACCTAAGATTAGTCTGTCTGTGGAAGGGACATGTGACGGTGTAATCGGATGGCATTAGCTTTGGCGGTAGGCAGAGCTGGCCCTCAGCCCATAGGATAGACCTGTTTTGTCTGGCTCAGATTCAGTGAGGAATTCCCATTCTTAGGATTTGTTTCTGTGCGATGTAATACAGCTAAAAATTAAGTTCTCCCTAAAGAAGACAGTGCTCTCGTCTTCTCTTTGCATTCATTTATCAGCTTGAGGAGGTATATTGCTGAGGTTCTGCAATGAATCACATAATAAGAGCTAAAAGCTAAGTTTTCTCTAAAACGAGAGCGGGGCCAATAAGGAGTTAAAAAATAAGCAGAAAGCAGGCCAGTCTTTAGAGTGATTTCACTAATGTAAGCAACAAGAAAATGTGCATACTTGGAAAGGCCCAATGACAGACAGTATGGCATATGGTGATTATTCATTTGCTATACACATTGCTGATTTTGCATATCTATATGGTTATAATATCCTGCCTTTCACAGAACTTTTCATCTGAGGATTTTGAGAATTCATCTGTAGGACACGTGACTCCAGAATGTCACTACGTCTTGTATGTACCTTTACATTTCTAAAGGCATACAAATAAAAAGGCCTTTTTGCTACAACTTTCGTTCAGTCCGTTACATTGCAGAGAGACATAGATCTCCCACGGAAGCTATTTTTTTTTGTACTGATCTAAAATGGCTCATTTGTATATTGTTGTTCTGTCTGTATGTGCGTGAACAACATGCAACAATGGACTGTTTGTTGTTATTGCTATTGTGCTTAAAGACCTTAGTGAAGAACTGAGCTCTAAAGAGGAGACAGTTGATACAGTTATGTAACATCGATACATATGCTAATCCAGATCATAACTGGCCCATATATCATCCCAGTGGGAACAGTGAAGACTTGCGCCTATCTTACGCTCACTGGATTGCACTCATTACTGGATACCAGGGGGTGAGATCTCGAATGATACTCTTAAGTATTTCGTAAAGCACTAACACCAGGAGTCAATGAGAATGAGAGTGCTAATTCTTATTTAAAACCTAAAAGCCACTTTATAGTTCCTGGGTAGAACACAAAAGGTTGAGAAAAGGATCTAAGTACGTCCAAAAGGCTTACAATACAAAGAGATAAAACACAAAGTTTACTACTTGCTTTCAAAAATCTCATGATTTTGAAGGATGAGAAACATGATTTCTAGATCCTCGCAGCTGGATATAGGGTACATTATCCTGTAGGTCTGTTCCCTCCTTCCTCCTTTTCCCCATTCTTGAATAGGTAGTGTTCTGCCTACAATTTCTGGACGAGAGCTGCCATTGCCTTTAAGGTTGAAGGTATGTATCCAAGCTCCAACCTGTTAGTTTGCCCCCTCTTCATCTACTCATACAAAAACCAGATTCACTCCATCCCAGACTGCAAACAGAAAGAATAAGCCTTTTTTCCTCCCACACCAAGAGAAAAAAATCATTTAGGGCTGCTGACACTTTCTAGTGGCTACCCAGGAAATATATGAGCCAGTTAGTCCTTCTTGCTAAACCTCCAAACCTGAGGTTTAGAGTTGGAGTTATTCTTGGCTTGCCCAGCTCAGGAATTTATTTCTTGGCAGCAATTAATAAGTAGCGATTAATGCTTCCTACAACATTACTAATGCAAGTGCTATAAATAATGCAGTTTATAAAGAGATAAACAGCCATATAAATGGCCTCCAGCTATTTGTGCAGTACTGTAAATATTTTAGCTTGCTGTTTTACAAAAGAGGGATCACACTTTTTTTTTTTTGAAGGAGGTGAATTTTTGTTTGCACTGAATGTTTTCACGTTTTATTGCAAACACAGGCCCCTGCTCAACATCAGTTATACCAGAGGTACAAATATTTAGGCCACGAGAGCAGATGGCCCTGCAGCTGCAGGTCATAAAGCTCTTGTATGTTTTAAAGTAAACACTTTCAAGTCTATAAACTTTATGCTCTGGGTAGTTCTTGAATTTGAACCATCTCAGTAGCTCAGAAAAAACAAAAACCCTACGTTGCTTGTTTCAATGTGTCAAATGTAAATCTCTGATTCACCTGCATGCCGCAAATGGGGTCCTCACAAAGGTAGACGCCTGGGGACTGACCATCTTGCAGGCTGCCTGTAGCCACTTCTGACAACAGGTCTCTAAGATTTTCTTCTTTCCCCCACACTTCCACTGCAGAAATTCGGACCGAAAAGCGGGCTCCTGTCTTCTCTTTGCGCTCATTAATCAGCTTGAAGAGCCAGGAGATGGCACAAGGGATTATGCCGAGGTTCTGCATGGAATCATCCTTTCCGATCATGGTGTATGACTTTCCTGTCAGGAATGGGGAGGGGAGAAAAGATAACAACATCACTCCCAGGAAGCCTTCTGCTAAGTGAGATTATCCTACACAGCCTCAGGAGAACTTCTTTGCTACAATAACAACAACAGTCAGCACAGCAGAAAGACAGGCAGGCAGGCAAACAAATAATACATGGACAACTGATAGCATTTAAAATGCACAGATGAAATCTTGAGCTGCATTCGAAACCTGCATTTCCTCATGCTGTCACTGCACAAGGTGAAAAGTCCTCTGACATCCCCAGTTCCCCAGGCAGAGTACTGTAGGTCCCTATGCTGCAACCTCTAGCGTAGAAGGAACAGCGGGATGAGTTGAACACAGCAGACACAGCAGGAGTGCCCGGGCCTCTAAAAATCCCTGCTTTAAGTACTGTGGGTGCAGTATACTTTGGATATCATTTTACCTGGAAGCACTATATTACACTAGATTTAGGATTGACATAAATCTGGCCCCAGGATCATAGAGGCATAACTTTACCCAGAAAAAAAAAAGGTTCAGGTAATGATTTAATGCAGACATGGGTTGATAACCTGAAATATTTTATCTACGTCAAAACTTTCCCATAGTTTGCCATTATTTGACTCTACAGTCATAGTTCTGGCTTGTCTCTGCTGCAAAAGTTTGCTGATTAAGAACAGACACAGAGCACTATTTCATACTGCTTTAGGTGTTATTACATATAATGTATTTAGGCAAGTTTTCTACATCTCCCACATTTATAAACCAAGTGACAAAGGTATACATAATTTTTATACATTGAATCTAAGTGGGAAAAGGTCAGCAAAGAAAATATTTTTATGTAGGTATCTGTGGCAATATCTGGGTGTTTCTACAGATGGCCGAATGGTGTTGGTAGGGTTAGTGAAGCAGCTGAGAGTGGTCCAGAAGGGCCTTGCAGTTAGCCAGGCAGGTGGCCCTGCTCCACTCGTTGTACCACAGCTAGCAGCACTGCAGCACTCAGTACTCTCTAGCTTTTGTTGCCTGTAATTTTGCCTAACTGTAGCCTGATACAGTCTGTTCTCTTAATCATGTGAAAAACAGAAGTATCCTTTAAAGCTGCGTGTACACATGCGTTGTGTATAACACAAGTACACTCGTGTTTCTTTGAGACAGAAAAGGATAGGGATCATTTCACCCAGACTTGCAGTGCAGCCCTCTTCATTAGAGAGCTAGTAGCTTCAAAATACTTCCTCTAGATTAGGATGAACAGAATATAAGATTACTCTAGAAATGCAGTTATTTCAAAATAATGTGTTGATGATGACGACTCTCCTTTTTATTGTCTTTCCATGAGCACCTGAAATGCTGTTGATGCAAGCATTTGCAAAGAGCAAATTTTGATCCATTGATACCATTCGGTTAATCATTGGAATAGTACTTGTTGGAGACAGAATACGAAAAGGTTAGTAAGGAGTGAATTGTCTAAACAGGTAACAGAACATATGTAACAGGATTTGAGTGCCCGGTCACAACACTTGCACAGTGGCATCACAAACATCATGTACTTGAGTAGATGCTCATAGGCTTTACACAGCTGAATAAAGTGGTATTTTGTCAAACAGTCTCTAATACGAGATACCTTTGTAAAACTGTAGACCAATACGGGATCATTCATTAAGAGTTGAAAAAAAATGCTAAAAATTGCTTTAGTAGGCAAAGGACAGAACAAACAAACAACTCAAAACCCATCTCTGTTTTAAAAAGCATGCTGTCCAAGACTTAAGCAGTATGTAAAACAAAGTGAATAAATGTCCAAATGGGAGGTGAAAGTGTGGTACAAGGTCATGCACACAGCATACTGCTTTCCAATGCAATTACTATGCATGGACTAATGAAGCTTTGTCCTCCTTGATCTAAAGCACGAGCAGTCTTGGGTTACAAATGTTCACTTTGCTGCTGAAATAGAGAAATTTTAACAATACCAACCAAGTTTGGCATGGCCAAAGCAGAACACACAGCCATCCGCCCCATTGACCACTGACTGGATCACCTCAGCCACAGTCCCAGCACATACTTCAGCCTGTCACAGGAAATTAAAAAAAAAAAATACTGTTAACAATAGTAAGGAAAATCAATAGAGTATTTTCAGTAAGAATGGTCATAATGTCATTAGTGCTCCAGATAGATAGAATTGATGAAGTATCAAAAAGTCTCATCCTGCTTCTCTCATTCATGTGACCTATACTGTTGATAGTAATGACATTACCTGTAAAAATAAATAAAGCAGGACTTTTGCTCTGTGTCAGGTAAGTTTCACTTGCTGAAGCATCAAAATCTGTTGTGGGGTTAGACGAAATACACCTATTGTAAGAGGATGTGGCTAATTTACTAGAACTCCCTATTAAGGAGACTTTACAAAAAAAATCCTTTTTTTGGTTAAAACGAATCAAACACTGAGATTTTTTAACAAGCTCTATTATTTCTTGAATTATGGACTCAGTTCAATTCCACTAGCAGGCAAGTAAGGAATGTAAGGAGAAAATACAGGCCCTTAAGTAATACCTAAGTGACGTTTCTTAATTTTTCTCTACATTGCTATGAATCTTCTTAGCTTTTAGCAGTAGCAGGCTCCATCTTGAAGCAGTATTTGAAAAGGTATGTCATACAAATCTACGCTGAGCATTCTTAGACTTCAGATTCAGGCATGCTGAACAGTATAGAGTGGTTCTGCAGTAAGAGCCTATCAGTACTGGGTGGAACTGAGTCAGAATTAGCAGAGTTTGGCCTTTTATGTAAAGCACTTTGCATTTGGTAATAGATCACATACCTTCTCCCAGTTCGTGGGCATTTTTAAGCTATCGCTATAATAGTAAACAAAATGGGTCAGGAAAAGGACTGTTCAAAGGCCAACTGCTATGACATCGCTCCTGTTTATAATCTGAACTCTCTTACCTCCCAAAACAGCTGTAGGTGATGGTCCCTGGTCCATCCCACTCCTGAGCTGTGTCCAGACATTAGTCTGGCGGAGTGCTAGCTGCTCCGACCAAAACTGCGTCAGGGATTGAGCCAATGATTTGATTGCATGCCAGTGCTTTGGCTGGCCTTGTGTCCCAGCTCTGTTTAGCTTATGAGTACAGAAGCAGCCTTATAGTACTATTTTGTAATTAAATTTCAAAATGTTACTTCACTCTTGTACTGTCCTCTTCACCATATTTGGGTAATATAGTTCATCAAACCACCAAAGGAGTTTCATTAAAATGAGAGATCAGAATATGTACACATCAATAGACACATGTGGACTAAAATCCCCATCCTCCTATCATGGACTATACAACACACCCCTCTATAAATAATCCTTGACTTCTTAATGAATGGAGGATTGCATTAAAGAACTGCAGTTGTGATCAGATCAACATAAATACCAAATAACAAATTTAAAAGATACAGTGACCTGTTGATGTCTAGGACTCACCTGCTAGACAGCATTTTGATCATTAGCACAATTTATTGCACATACACTCTTAAGAGCAATTTACATTTACAGTAAATATTAAAGAAATCAGAAAATTATGTTATTCAGATATGAGTTAATAAACCGGTTTCACTAGTGATGATATTGCTAGACCTAATTCATTCCTGGTCTAACTCCACTGAGAGTACTGCTGTTGCAGAAGGAATGGATTTGGCTCTGGTGTGCCCTAGCGTTTAGACAACTATTTTGATCATACTTTGCCTACCTGTGATGCATCTTGGGGGAAAACTGCATCAAAGGCAAACATCTTAGGTGGGACCTGGTTGCCCCTTTTTTGGAAGGTGTTCTGACCTCCACAGGTCAATGGGTCATACAGCGTGATTTGCTTCTTACGAGGATCAACCTTTAAGAAAGAGCTGGACTCCGACGTGTCTCTGGCAAGCGTGGAAGAAATGCGCACCATGACTTTGACCTTTCAGCAAACAAACAGAAATACGACCACATTTGATTAGCATGCTGGATGTATTAGAATCTGGTATGTTGAATGAACTTTCTAATTCCACTGAGCCAAATCTTAACTTGCTTTACTGTAGCTAGTGGCTGAGTGGAAAACAGTGAAGACACAGGAATGATTATAGACAGATTTTGGCCTAAAATGCACACTGAAAAGAGCCAGAACTCTTCTCCGTCTACTTCAACAAGCAACTTGTGTATTTATAATTACGAGGTACATCGTTGTGTTTTAGTGCCCATGTTACTCAAGTACAACGATGAGGTATTACATCACCTTGTCTTACCCTCGATATAAATTGAAAATTAACTGCACCCCAGTGGCCCAATTAAGAAAGCTGAAAGGTAATCTAGGCTGCTAAGCTATCAGAACTGCTGTGGTTTCTACGAAGTAGCCTGATCAATAAAGCAAGCACATAAAAGCCAGATCTGTAATTTACACCTTTCCGATTCTAATCCAAATGCAAAGAGATGAAGTGCTTGGTTCTAAGTGTCATCATCAAAGAGTTGTGAAAAGAGCCCTGTTTTAATGGTCAGCTTTTGAAATGCTCGTCAAGGGAGTGGAATGTAATAAGCGATAAAAGATTTGTTAAAACATGTTAGCTCACAACTCATTAAATGGCTACACAATAAGGTGTTATTTCTAAGACTAAGATACATCTTCAGGGATTTAATGAGGTTATACTGCATCCTTAGCCCTGTTAGTAAGCAATTTAGATATAAGTAGAATTGATGATAATCAGTCTGGCTTTGGTTTTTCCATAAATTTACTACCTGCAGACACATGAGTTCCTGAACTTTACAGGGCAAATGTCACTCCTGTGTCAACTCCCGCCTTCTAGCCACAGCTAGAAGATCTTAAGAGTAAAATGCTCCTTAACTATATGTCACTTGCAGCTAACCCACACAAGTTTGGCATGCAGGGGACCAGGATGGGTCACCTCACCACAGGGTGAGAGCACAGCTGTTGTTGGATTGGGAGATTCATGCTGCTAGGAGGTTGCAGCCCTAAAATTCAGACAAGGCTGCAGTTCCTGTCAGCCTCATGGAAACTGGTGCTCTTTGTAAGCAGGTCTCCTTTCATGCTGGCCTAAGCTCATCCAACATGAAAATGAATCAGCACCTTTGAGAAGTCAAACCTGGGCATTCATTTTTGACATAACTCCTTTGAAGCTGATGCAATGAGACTAGAAATTAAATAGGATCATTCAATATTTTTGTGATCTCTTCTCTTTATGCTTTTGAGTCAAAGTGGTAATTTGACTCCAAATATTTTAACTCAGGAAAACAATGATGTCATTAGATGGTGAAATGGTCAAGAACCTGTGCATATGATTTCAGTTCTGTCTGTTTTATGCCATTAGTTGATGGAAAGCAGAAAAACATTGCTTGGGGGGGATGTGTGGGTTCTAAACTGTTCAACTCAGCTGTTTATGAAAACTAATCCCTGACCCCTAACTGAAAAAGCCACTTCCAATATTTTACCAAAAGCATTCTTCTAAGCCCAGCCTTAAGCAGAGGCCATTTCTGCTGCAGACAAAGGCAGCAGCACCCCCAGTAGGTCCGTGCAAGCTTGGCCTGGTTTGGCAGTTTATTGCAACTTTAGGTTTCCTGGCAGTGCAGAAGGGAGGCACTAGCTAAGTTAGCAGGGAAAGGAGGGAGCTCAGTACTGAGTCCTAGAGAAGTAAGGAAAAAAAAAAAAAAAAGCAATGTAAGTCTTGAACTGTTTTCCTATTTTCACCTTTGGATCCATTTTGCTTTTTCTACCGTGTCCCACAGTTTTAAACAGATGCCAGTATCCAGAACGTTAGACTGCTGAAAACCAAAACAAATGCAACACTTCAAATACTTTAAATAAAATACTTGGTCTGCTTTAGAAATGTGTTTTTCCTATATGTTTATGTGCAGTTTTGGCTGTTACGAATCCATGGCCTGCAGACCTTTGATAATCGTGTGAGCAAAGGAGAGCTAACTGAATACCCCAGGGCTAAGTGTCTTTGGGCTTTATGTAAGAGAATGTGGGTGAAATTTAACAGCCCATCATATACAGGCAGTCTAACAGCCCTTTCTGTCCTCAAATTATACGAACATTTAATTTTATCTTCAACTACAGCTGTTTTGTACCAGTATAACATCACTGTCTGTTCCTGATTTAAACCTGTACACACAAAATCAGAATAATACCTGTCACTTCTTGTTGCTGAAGTAACATAGTAAATCCTTCTAACTTCCAACAGCTACAGTGATAGAAACTCAGGCATCAAGTTTCTCTTTCC